TATCTACAGGTTCTCTATATTTATCCTTGGTTTTTTGTCTGAATACGTTAGTTTTTCGGAGTTTCCACACTTGGTAAACTATATGCGTACGTTTATCCAAAATCTAACCTATTTCGCGTGCATCTTTGGAAATTTACGTCAGAAATTTTACAATAGATGGATCAGAAAACCCGGCATTTACCCAGGTCTCAGATTTTAAACAAATTTCACCAAACACTTCCACAAGTGCGAACTTTTGCTGAAATAAATTTGAAATTTATCAAGGTATTCCACTAAGGGAAAATTTCATTGATTAAATACTTTAGGTCTTTTACACCCAAACCTAGAGCTTATTTTTGTCCATGGTTTCTATAATACATGTTTTCTTGGGAAACTCCGCCCTCATGCAAACTTAGTTGTCTACTAGGTACCCCAGTAAACACCTGTTACTTATAATGTATTTTATGTTCAAGAATACCTTACCCAATAAAATCAATTACAATCTCCGAGTTGGTAGACGCAATAGAAGCGGTCTTTTTTCGAAATAATTTATGTATCTTTCATATCAAAAAGATGATTTATTTACGTTACCCTTAACGTTTTCTTACACTATCTAACAAGTCGCTAACTTCCAATATAATTTTAGTATTCATCTGCCTAATACTGAAAGGAAAAAAACGTTTTGATACAACTTACTCGTTAGGTATAGTTTTTTAATCTTAGTGGCTGCGTACTGGATGATGATATAAGAACTGAATGACAATAATTTACCGAATGAATACATCGCGATTGATGAAGAGTTATTTGTGAAAATATTCACGTTCAGATACCGAACTATACTACAACCAGCCCCCATTTTTAAAGCCTTCAACTCTTGAAAGGTGTATACGCAGTCACAATTCTCTTATCGGATCTCTGACAGTTCTCATTATTACATGTAATCACCAATTTACTCACTCAGCCTTTTTAAATGAAACATTGGTGTAGCATATTGATCAATATTGGCTGAATGAAAACCAAACGTTCTTTCGAATGTTACTTTCAACTCAACGGCAGTCCGTAAGTCATCTGAAGGAAGATTGTTTTCTGTAATCGAACATAAGCACAAAAGTGCTCCACTTTGCATTTCAGCAAAGTCCATCCTAGTTTCTCATTAATACGAACCATTATTTACTTCTGTGTTATATTCTTTTTCTTGGTATACGACTGCTGGAGACAACATACACTTTCCTCCTGTTTACGTAATTGGTAACAAAAACTTTTATCCAGATTAAAAAAGCATCTGTTCAACAGAACTGGAAACGCTACTTCCGAAAACCCAAAAGGATCGTAGATAACCCTAACTAGTAGAAGTTACCACAGTCTGAAATTGTGAAACAATATGTCGCCCCACCATATTAAACTATTTCCAACTGGTAACTACTTGGGAAATAATGTCAATAAACATATATAAATGTAGAATAGTAACGATAGTATCATGTAGGTATTGAGATACTAAGTACGTTTATTACGAGAATACACATTTGACAGACACACTAACTAGTGGAATATATTTACGTAAGATATGGAAATTATTTCGGAAAAAGACTGCTTCTATTACCTCTACCATAACACATGCCTTGTACTTATGTGTACGAAAACAATTTGTAGTTAACCTTGAATTTACCTTGTCATCCTTAAGTCATCCTATAGCCTAGGATAACACGACAATTTCTTATTCTTTCTCTCCCCTTGGTTATTTTTAATTGAACTTTTATTTGGTTGACCTTTATTATTTTCATATAAACATGTCTCATACACATTAATGCAAATACCTATTTTTTTTAAAAAATCCTTCACGTTGATTGGTTGACTTATTCAGTATACAGTAAACCGAAGAACCATGTACCTATTTATATTCGATAATTTTGTTGTTTGATTATATTTTCCTTGAAAAAGCTTGGACCAGATTGGCAGGCGAAACGTTGGAATTACTTCAAATTCTTTCGCTGAGATTTTACAAATACATTCTTCCTTTTTAATGTCTCACATTAACTCGGCGCCCAAATACTGTGAAACTATTCGTTCAAATTTAGACGAAAGTTCTTATTCATTTTATTGGGTAAAGTATTCTTGAACATAAAATACATTATAAGTAACAGGTGTTTACTGGGGTACCTAGTAGACAACTAAGTTTGCATGAGGGCGGAGTTTCCCAAGAAAACATGTATTATAGAAACCATGGACAAAAATAAGCTCTAGGTTTGGGTGTAAAAGACCTAAAGTATTTAATCAATGAAATTTTCCCTTAGTGGAATACCTTGATAAATTTCAAATTTATTTCAGCAAAAGTTCGCATTTGTGGGAATTTTCAGTAAAATACATGGGTTCGCGAGAACTACTCTTTAGACCACTCTTAGTGGTTTTCGGGGGTTGGAGGAAAACATCTCTAGATAGGTGTAATGCATAATTCACCTTTATGATTATTGAGTCGCTCTATATCACCATCCCCTTTAAAAATTTCTCTCTCGTCGACGAGATGGTACCTGTAAGTCTGCCCCTTTCAAGGTGGTTTGTTGGTAACAAATTACTAGACAATATCAATGTTTTCGAACAGGATTATTGAGGTCGCGTGACACAGGATTGGGATTAAGCTCAGCACATTCAAACGTGCCTACTGAGTTTGGGTTACCGTTCAGTCAGCTACAACGTAGGACCAGGCACGTATATGCATCGGTCCAAGTTGCCGTACCTCATAAACGCAACAAGATGAACACCGGATTCATAAAAGAAGTTAATTTACTTGTGATAATGTATAAAAGAAAGATTGCAATAAGGATATAGTACAGGAAGAAAGAACTAGTTCGTAGAAAGAAAGATATGAAGCGATTTTAATCTCTTAGTTTAAGGGAAGACAAAGAGTGTATACACTGACGCCATTGTGATCGGTTCTGAGCCATGTTACCAAGAGTCTCTAACCGTTGGTATCATCTTGTTTACGCCCTTTACTCACGGCTGTACCATACTCATGAAAGACACTGCTTCTAAATCTCTTAATCATCGGTAAGAGGTCTATTGAGAATGGCCTATTAATCTTGAAAATTTACTAATAGACACCAATAAATCCTCTCTTAGTCTATTTTACATCAATTTCCTGTAAGTTATGAAAGTAGGAAGCAAATATTTATTAAAAACCGCTTAGCAGTGTAAGTCGTAGGACTCAAAAATCTTCACAAATCCCGCATGTTAATGGGAATAATGATCCTTTCCGTGGCATTTTACTAATAAAACATGTGACTACTTTCATATTATTAATACGGTACTGAATATTTTTCTGTAAACGTGTTTATCAGTTATAGTGGAACTTGGTGGTGACGCTTTACATATTCAGTTTTATGTCACCTGAGATACAAGATGGATTGTTTCATTGCAGTGTATGTAATTTGAAAATCAGGTATGATTACAAAGGTGATAAGCCTCCATTCTTCAAAAAGGATGTAAAGTAACTAGGTATCCTAGCGTTGTAATGATAGCTTCAGGCTTCTAGAAAATGTATATTGTATTCGTGATCCGTTTGCTGACGATAATTTGGGTGGGATTATACTAGGTGGTGATTGTAGTGTGTGCGGGAAAAGTGTTTGTGTTTCTCAAGTATGTCGTATTCAGTTTATTTTATATGAGATTTAGAATTGTTCTACATACAACGTGAAACGATACTGCCTTTGTTGTGTGAAAGATGAACATGGCAGCAGTTGACAATACGGTTTGTATGAATTGCTAAAGCGATAACTATTTGTGTACATATGTATGCTTTTTTAATGTTAATTATTTTTTGTGAGTACTTGTTGTTCCAATTATTGTGGTCAGTTGTTAAAATAATAAACATAGAGGGCTACATTTAATTTTGTGTTTTTATTTGTTAAGACGTTTGAAATGTGTAGTTAATGGTGGGTTAGTTTACTTACTGTTATATCCCGGCGGGAATTATGAATGGTAACTTCCGAGAACTATTCATGGACAAATATTATGCGTATATTCTTAATGTATAACTATTCAGTATCTAAATTATGCGTATCCATACTCATCTTATTACAAGCTTTACTTCGACCTATAAACTATTATTACACAGTTTACCGTTCTTGAGTTATACCCAGTCTATTAATTTCAGTCTCCCATATTCATAGCTACTTTTGGCTAGATCTTGTACAAATGTTAATTTCTATTTTATGGTACGATGTGGCCTGTTTGGTTTATATATAAACACATTATGTTTGGAGTACATGATTCATATCTCAGAGACTGAGATCAGTGTTCTGAACTAAACAGGCAGGGCTAGGTAGGAAGAAGGGACCGATAAAGACTCTAGACAGTTCTTACAGGTTTTATACATCATTGGTCCGGTCGATAAATCACTGTTCTCTAATTGATGGTATCATTAAGTCATATACTGATAGGGATTCAAGGTATAACAGATTTCAATAACATTCAACAAAATCAACAGACTGATAAATATCATGTGGTCACTAATGGGTAATTTATAGAGAAAATATGCAGAGTTCTGGTAGTAAGCTGTAACATTGAAAGATTGTTGTATAATGGGTCAAAATTAAACATGAAAAGATATGATATCGACTGAATCGTTTGAACTTTCTACTAATCACATTGTTTATCGGAAAGAAATCAAAAATTAAACTTATGAATGAAAAAAACCGTAAACGAGTAGATGAAATGTTTTAAATATCCAAAGGACAATGGACATATTAGAGGTATTATTTGGCAGTACAAAATAAAACAAGTGTAAAAGTACGCATGATAATCAAGTGGTTGTTAATTGCAGTCTAAAAAAAAGCACACGATAAACACACAAAATACAACTTTGAACGACTATATATCTCACGTAATCAACATTTATTTCTTAATCTATGCAAAAAACCCAGATGAATAAGTATCAAAGAGCTCATTTAAACGTAAAGAGAATTAAATGAATTAATCAAAGTATTTATGTATATGATAGGCGATTCCAGAAAAGTTAAGTGTTTTGGTTAACTGAAGGCACCGATTTTTTTTCGATAAAGCTTCAATTGATCAACATACATGCCTGTATTAGCGTATTCATACAGACAATGAATCGTTTTAGTTGGAAAAAGTCTGAAAATAAATGAATAGGAACAATAATAATATGCTGTATGGTGTGACCTATTGATGTCTATATTAATAGTGATTTAGTTAATTTTTTTAAAACAATGCAATTCAGTTTTGATTGCCTGTAATGTTAAAACTAATCAAGGATCAATCAACTTGTTGATCTAAATATTATTCTGATTATTGAAATAAAAAATCAAACAATTTAGGTAAATGAAAATATTTGATATTTTATAACAGATTTTACAATTAAGGATGGAAAATGACGCTGATCGGTTGAAGTTAGATATTTAAATTACCGAATGACGGGCCAACGATCTAAAGCTCAAGCTCTCCTGATACGACCCGGAGGTTTTAAGTTTGGTCCTCAGTAAAGGTGTAGTTGCATACTGTTAAAGTCTTTTAATAGGACAAAACAACTGTCCAGTGCTTCCCGATTTTTAATGATTGCCTTGGGTGATTTCAATAACATCTGAACTATTATGATGAGTAGATCAGAGATAGATTGGTGAGTTGCAAGTTGAAACAGTCAGCTTTACATTAGTGAGCGTTCAGTGGAGCAGTGGTTAAGGCGTTGAGCTATTAACTATTAGGTACGATAAGTAAATACATGTATTCATTCATATGCACCGAAGAGCGTGGTACATTTGTGGATTGGTCCAACTTACCGCACCACAGCAAAATGTCAGGGTAGTGGATAGAATTAGTGACAGCATCAGTGGTAGTAGAAAACATTAAGCACAGACGGTATGATTCCAGAAAATATGAATTCATAGAATAAGAAGGAACTAGATAATTCAAAAACTCAGGATCTAAGGGAAGAAAAACAGTAAATGCGTCTGTGCAATTACGAACAGTTGTGAGCCATGTTGCTTTACGTCTTCCCAACCATTGGCTACATCTTTTGCGTGGACACTAACATCTACCAAAACGAACCAGTCTAACTGTTAATGAACTGATGGTGGGTTTTGTTTTTCCACCACTAAAATTCTTCCAGTCTACTCCCCCACACTAGAAATTTGATGTCGAAGTAGACAGTGGCTTGGGATATGTAGTAAATGCCTCATTCGACGAAGGCTTACTACTTCATCAAACAGTTAAAAGTGCAGTATACCTATTTTTCATGGATTTTACTTCCTATGATATTTTGAAACATGACAACGTGAACCGGTGCATATCTGTGTGAAAATTCATATTTTATGTCTGAAAATTTAAGAGTACCAATTAATGCAGAATTCAGTTGTTCAAGCATTAAAAAGTGAAATCGAGAGTCCATTGTTGCAGTAGGTTTTGGGCGTTGGACCACAAACTATCATAAACCTTATTCAGTTGAGGTTATGATTCTAAATGATACTAGAACCAGAAGCTACCAATCACATGAATTTACTCAACCCCTATTTTTAAGAATATAATGTTACCCGATATTTGTGAAAGTTTGCAACCTCACCCACTAATTTAGCTTTTCTGGTTAACTATTATCAACTAAAATAGTTTGCAGGTCAATAAACTACTAGATTAGTTGAGGAAAAAAATAGTAATATAAATTGACTAAAACGGTATTGATTATTAAGCTATACGATGATTTGTGTATAGTGCGAAAAAGACGCCAGTAAAAAGTGGATCAGTACGTTTCTGAAATTACCTCTGAATTGATTTATGAATTTTATTTATTTATTTTAACACAAATATTGGTATAAGGAGACACCAAACAAATATGCGCCACACAAATCTCATTTGATATGCCCGGGTGCCCAAACCGAAGCAGGTGGTTTTCTTAGGGGGCCACATCCAGAGCCTTCGGCCAAAAGGTCTGATTCACAAGGGAGTGGAGTATCGTAAGGAGATGCAGTCCCGTGGTAGCTGTTGACCAACGATTGGTTCATACGCCATTTGTTCCTGCAGGATACTGGAGCCCATGTGCACCATTGGTTTGGAATCAAGGTTTTCCAACTCCCCTAGGTGGACTCTCCATTTCCACCAACCCGGTTAAAGCGCCGGACATTCGCTTTTCGTCCTCTCGATTTCGTAAACAACACCCCCGACACGAGAAGGCAATGAGTAGGATTTCCCTGTCAGAGGCTATATACGCGTGGCCATGTGAGAGCATTTCGAGAGGGAGAGCGGACTCTCCCCACTGTCGACCGTACCAGGGCATTTGGGGGCGATTTATGAATTAACGTATATTTGTGATAGCATTTGGTATAAGGAACCACTAAAAGAACAGCATTTACAAGGTTTTCTGAACATATCACAAGAGCGACCAGTAGGCACTTAATGGACAGTGGACATAATGTAGATATAACAGAGATGTCTAAAATAACTAACAACGGAATATAATGAGTTCTTTTTATTCAGTAAATTTAGTTGTTATTTTTTAATTAAGTTTATCAAGTGATCATGATATATGGGAAAGAAAATGGATACCTACATTTGTAAGATGGGCAGTATACGATATCGGGCCGATACATAAACAACTCGTTCATTTAAACGTACAGATTGAACGATTCGATTTGCACAATAGCTTGCATCCACAGTAGGGAAGAGCAAAGGATGTCTGTAATATAATGGATAATAATTTTAATAATACACATGACAATCCAAAAAGTCATATTTACGCTAAATATTCGAGATGTGCTTGTTACAATAAGTTAAATAAAGTCATCTCTTTACTGGAATGTCAAGCGTTTGGTAAAAATAGTGGAATTACTCTATTGGTGCTTAGTTGATCAACCACTTCATTTTACACGTACGATTTACTACGGAAAGATACCCACTCTTTATCCTCTCTTAGATCCTAATTCCTTAGATTATTTTATGAAGTTATTTTTAAAATTCCACTTGTTACCTTTTTTCTCGAATCATATCATCAATGTCTAATGTTCTTCATGACTGTTACTACCTCTACTACTGTGAAATTTGTCTTGCCGAGAGTCCAAGGTTCCAGTAAGTCACAACTGGTCCAATTTAGCCATATTGAAAGTAGGATATTTGTCCCATGTAGGATTGCATGATTACTGTGCCATATTGGGAATCGATTTAGGTTCGAATTGTGGACGACCGAATCCCAACTCAGTGGCCTAAAGGTTTAATGTTTGGCTCGAAATTTGAATGTCTCAGGTTGTGTTTGTGCTACCGAGAAGTTACATAAGAACGAAAAAACTGCCCAGTGCCTCCTAATTTATGTTAATCTACGATAAGAGTTACCTATAAATAAAATGAATAATAATCAAAAGGACTTACTTGGGTGTAACACCCTTAAACATATCTGTATTAAGTAGAAAAGGTAATATACGTGTAACACGAATTTCATCATCCACACCCAACTTAAGCAGCTCCAATTCTAATGATTCAGAAAATAACAGAGCTGCAGCTTTTGATGCACAATAGTCTGCACCACCTGCTAGAGGTACCCGACCAGCTATTGATGAAACGCAAACGATATGTCCTCTGGGATGACGAAATTTAACTGGAATACCAGAGCTTGAATTCTCATCTATTTTGTTAATCATAGATGGTAAGAATGCTTGAATTAACTTTGCAAAAAGGGATATAAAAGAAAAGAGGACATAATAAAGATAAATGTATTAAAAGTAATTAAGTGATTTATTGTTCAAAATAATTAGCTTCCTGTAGAAATAAGATGTCAAAATGTATGTGATTTACTGACTTTATAACAAAACTATTTTCAATGGGTCGAAAATTTAAAAAAAATCACTTCATAATAAGTCTACCATTAGCCATACTTTATGTAATAATAAATATATTTTTGTGTATTTCTAATGAGTAGAAAACGCATGTTCCTGAAATTCTATGATTTGAAATTTAAGTCACTTTTTCAAAGATTTCGGTTACTTATCTGCTCTGAAGAAATAACTGATATTAAGTCACGAAACGTCAGGAACACAATTTTCTACTCATTAGGTTATCATAAAAATATATTTATTATTAACTTTCTACTCAATGCTCAATTTATTTGAAACTATCAAGTCCAACCTTGACATTGATGCCCCACATACTTTATTTATAAGTGATCATAACAAAGTAAGACGAAAAATTACTAAACTCCAAAATGAATACTTAAATTATACCACACACATTCTAAATATGGAATGATTAGGAGTTCAACTTAGCAAAAATGTTTTACTAGTTTAGAACTGTTAAATATCATATCGGAATAATAATGTTTTTTTAGAAATAATAAGTGGTTGTTATTGTCAGTATATTAGGAACACAATCTGTCAAATGCCGAAAAGAAACTTACATAGAAATGTGACAAGACATTGACTCGGAAACAATCTTCTATGGAATCATGTGTTAGGTCAGTGATAAATTCTGCATTCATGACACCCGCATTATTCACTAAAACAGTAACTTTTCCAAATTCTTTCAAAACGCTTGTCGAAAGTTCATCAATAGCTTTTTTGTGTCTATCAATACAAAGAGATTATTTAAATTGGTTATTTTTAGAAGACAATTCATACCTTAAATCGCATACATAAAATTTAATTTGAATGTTAGTTTCCTTATGAACCAACTTCGATGTTTCTAATAGACCCTTCTCATTCTTATCAACAGCTATTATGTTTGGACAAAATTTCGCAAACTCCAAACACATGAGCCTGCCAATACCATTTCCTGCACCTGGAGAGTTGAAGAAAATTAAAGTATAATGATATACAATAATAGTTACCAGTGACAAGTATAATGTCCGATGAAAGATCCTTATAAACTGGACTGATTGTTTGCAAAACATAGCTGGCAACTTCAAGAAAAAAGCACCAGAGAAGTTTGAAAATAAACACAATATGTTCAATAACGAATTCCAAGTATGGCGTTCGGTGTTCGCATTGAATCATTTTGGTTACCTAAACGAAAAAAAGTTCAGTTTATAGATGTAAGGATGGATCAGAAGAAATATACACATTTTGGCACAAACGATTGCAGATCTGTAATTATGTCTAGGCTTACAGTTTAGGTCCCGGCCGTTGTTGCTACCTTGAAGTGGTTGTCAGGTGTGCCTGTCTTTATGACCCAATCGCGCCATAATGTCTGGGACAATCGTTAATCAAAGTCCTACCATGCCAGATAGATCTGTTGAGCGGTAAGACCAAATGCAGCAAACCCAAGGTTCAAAGGCGGATTCGTACTGCTGACTGTACAGAGGTGTGACGGCAGTAAAGTATTTCCCTTAGACAACTAGCATGAAAGCAATGGTGCCTTCCCACAGAGAAAGGGTGAGGTTAGAAAAACGTCAACCGAAGAGTACACACCTCACCTTATCCCACGGATTTTCGTCCCCAGCGGTAAAGTCTCAACAAGTACGGAGCTAACATGAAAATTACTCACAAAAAGGTCGTGTGTGACCGACCTCACGCAGTTGTCTCTTTGGCACTGCGGTCACACTCTCAGGTGACTAAGACCACCTCTAACCCAAATTTCCTTTTCAGGTACCCCTAGGAGAACCCTCCCACGGTGTAGGCAGCCGAGTGATAACCGCCTCACTAGACACAGAAAATTCAGATTAAGGAGACCTATTAGAGTTGAACTCAGCGATGAGAAGACCAAAGGTAAATTCCAGGAACAACTGAAGTCACATTGGGGCAATTTTGAAAACAAGGCTGACCCAGATGTTACTTGGAAAGATATACAAAAAGCTGTAGAAACAGCAGCGATATCTATTGGTGATTTGAACCAAAGCGTCACGAAAAACAAGTGGAAGTCCGCGACACCCCTTTGGACCGATAAACTCTTGTAAACTTATCCTATTAGGCTCCGAACACGGTGAAGAGCGAAAGCAAATCAGATCTAGGCTAATCAAAAGAGATGAAAACAATAGCGACTGTAGGTAAAACCAGAAAGAAACCGGAATTAATAAGTCAAGTGTAAGTGATATGATCTCGGAAAAAGACAACACTTATCTGCTCTCAGTCCAGCTGGCCTTCATTTACTCTACTACTACTACCTACCATTAAAAAACAGCCTGAATGGAACATTGAAGTAAATCCCCCGACTTTGGTTTAAAAAGCTATAGATAGTCTGAAACGAGAGAGCAACTGGTTCAGATGGACTAACTCCAGAGGTCTTTAAGGATGATGATCCAGTCTTAGCGATTAGGTTGACAAATATCTTAGCTAAAATCTGGGGACTGTACGTAATTTCATCTGACTAATCGTGATCACTGATCGTCCCAATATATAAGGGGTCAAAACGATCTTGTGATAACCATAGAGGGACCAGTTTGACTATTATAGCGTCTGAAACACTAGCCTCAATAATTTTTGGAAGCCTAACAAAGGCTCGTAAACCGCAAACACGAGAAGACCAGGCTGGCTTCAGACCTAGTTGTGACTTCGTCGAACACATATTCACTATTCCTCAGATGTTGGAACATAGCCATGCTTATCAGCGTCTAACAATGATGGTTTTCCATGACTTGAAAGCCGTATTTGACTCTGCAGATCGAGGGCTTCTGTGGTAGTGTTTGTCACTGAAAGGCGTACCTCGGAAGTACATAAACATTGTGAAGGCTCTTTACTCGAACACTACCAGTCGAGTCAGGCTGCCCATTTTCTCCATTTTTGTTTAACTTTGTCATAGACGTAGTGCTGGAAATAACGTTTTAGTCGTCTAAATTTTCAAGAATTGATCTCATACCAGGAGGTCCACTTATCGACTTAGAGTACACAGATGACATAGTCCTGTTTGGTGAAGACGCTGATGAAATGCAGTCTTTTGATAGCACTGAGCGACAATGCCAAGATGTTTGAGACGCGTTTCTCCCTCTCTAAATGAAAATCGTTGTTTTTGGACTTGCCTTGGTCAATAACTGCACTAAGGAAAGGGGGTGAAGTAGTCGAATGCGTTGACAACTCCATTTATCTTGGGAGTCTGAAAAGCCCTAATGGGTTGGTGTCAGAAGAAATCTCAGCAGATTCTAAAAGCTCGTTTGGTTTTTGCCAACTTACGCCACCTATGGCGAAGGCGAGATATCCGTCTATCAATTAAGGGACGAGTATATTGCACAGCAGTTTTTTCTGTTTTACTTGAAGGCTGTTAAACGTAGCCAATGAGGGTAGAAGATACTCGTAAGTTACTAGTATTTGATCATGAATGTCTTAGAAATGTTGTTCTCATGTGCTGGGATAACGGGTAAGTAATAGTGAGGTTAGACGCAGGGTATTAGGGAATGATAGTGAATCAGTTGATGAGAGTGTAAATATTTATTGACTGAGATAGTTGGGCCATGTGTTGCGTATGCCTGAACACCGATTACCACGACGTGCAATGCTGACTAGTGTTGAAGACGGCTAGAAGAAAGTTAGGAGTGGCCAAAATAAAACGTGGCATTAATGCTTGAAGTCACTAACTTCCAGTCTGAGTCATGTTGGTAGATGCAGACTACTTGGCTGGGGTCCGCGTGACTATCGTAATGAATGGTTGGATACTCTGGGTGACATGGCTCAGAATCTATCACAATGGCGTAGGTGTGTGCACTCTTTTTCTTTCTACGAACTGATTCTTTCTTCCTGTACTATATCTTTATACACAATCTTTCCTTTATACATTACTATCATTGAAGTGACTACTTCCATGAATTTGGTGTTCATCTTGTTGTGCTAATGAGGTGTGACAACTTGTACCGATGCCTTTATGTTCCTGGTCCTAGGTTGTAAACGACTGACTGACTTACATTTTAGGTCACAGCTCATATATAATGTGGTTAGGCTAAGTTATTATCTTGTTTTTGAAGCATCAATAAGTGAGAAGGGATTCGAATACAATTCAACTGGTTACAAATCTTTCTGTTCAGCCACAAATCTATGAGCCTGGAAACGACAATCAAGACATATAAGCATACTGTATGCTTTTTATTTATACGAGTGGTCAGGACAGAACTTATGACAAATTAAAATCCGAATAGGCTATGGGAAATAATGCCTGTGTTCCTCCACCTTTATTAATTCTATTATGGACTACTTTTCATTCATCGTTTAGTGATTTATCTACCACCTGAAGAAATAATTTGGAGTGTACTAATGACCTAGTTTCTCAGTGAAGATGCTGAAAAAATTGTTGAGCCTCTTACGTGACAAAGCAGATAAATTTAGGATTTACTTACTTGCTCAGAATTCAAGAGCTGCTTTTGGGTTAATTTGTATCAAATTGCTTTTTGACAAAATGAAGTGAGGTGTGGGGAGATTTAATAGATATATTGAGCAGATAATCAGAATACAAAAGCGCACGAAGAGCCTCTTAGCCAAATGACGAACTGGGTATTAATTGTGTTTAGTATATTATTACACTGCTTTTAGCATGTATGTATTCACATCAAGATAAATATTTTATAATATGTCTTGAAGCGTGATCGAGTATAGTAGAACAGGAAGAAAACAAGCAAGGGATCAGAAACTAAGCAGGCAAAAAAAATTAACTACGTTGTTAATTGCTCATTAACAATATGTTAGAACAGTTATTTCCCACTACCACCGCGTTGACGATTTGGATAGCAAATTGATAAAATGTATGAAATATGGTCTTATTGAATACATAACTCTTTAGGAAGGAAAGTAAGACGACACAACGTGAATACGTATTATTTAATCATGGAATCTTGTGATAAAAATAATAAGAGTGATATAATATAGGTCTCCAAAACGCAAATACTACTGAAATTTAGAGTTCTTACAGGCAACCATAGTAAATATATATACCCAATCTCCCAATTTTGGGGATAACTTTGTCAGTTTTGGGAAAATGGCACAAAACCCCCAAATGTCCCCAAGTCTGGGTAGAACCACGAATTTTAATATCACTTTGAGGAGGATCCCGAAATTTCGTTAAACTCGGGGGACTGGTTTGACCAAGATAATTTCAAGGTGACAAACTATAGAAGAATAAAACTGTGCAAAGCTCGAAGTAATGGCTCAAAATTACACATATATGAACTAATTCACCTACATGTCTGCAGGAGAACATAGAGATAAGATTATATCCATTGTTCATTATATATACGATTATTTTTGTATCGTATGATACAAAAGTCATCCCAGAGGTTGTATTTAAAAAAGAAAATATGTAACCGGCAAGGAGTGCATTAACCTACCTGAACTGATTGAGAGAATTGAAGGAAAAAGTCCAAGATACTTATTACAAAGTAGGTAGTAGTTAATCCTCAGGCAAGGTATAAAACTATGTTACAAGCACTAGCAATACAGAAATTGATGTGTCATGCAAAAAAGCCTGTTAATAGCTGATAAATAACGACACGAAAAATCCACGACAATATGTAACGTGTGCGCGAAAATCCGTGGCTTACCCGCCAGTCCGTGCCTAATCCTCACGTCTCAGCACTTCAAATCAAGATGTAAATCACTTATCGTTTAGGTTAATAATCAGTTTACGATTTCAAACAAAATCAGTAAGACAGATGTAGCTCAAATGGTTGTGGACGGAATGGAAGCTTTCGCTCACATATTATTTTTTGGATCAAGGTCGTAATGGTGGATTTTAAGAACTATGTGATGAGTATTCTTCTTGTGGCAATGGTTACTTGGAAACCTCAATGAACCAAAATATTATTTACCTAGACCAGAAACATTCGAGGATCAAGTTATCAGGAAATTCTCTTAAACAAAAATCGCTTGACATGTTCCTTAGTGCAATATGTGGAAGAAGCAACCAGGTACCACCCGAACACCGAGACATATTTATTGGATCTCATAATGTCTCACTATCAAGATGACGTCACAATCCTCGATTATACATCACCACTAGGTAATGACAACCATCCAGTTTTGGTCTTTTAGTTCCATATCGCTGTAAAAAATGTTGTGTCCGTTCAAACCAGACCAAAGGTTTGGGAAGCAAATATACAAGTAATTAAACAGTCGGTGTCTTCAGTGAATTTGATAGTAGACTCGCAATCTCCCAATGAGACGTCTTGGGAGGCATTTTAGAATTTTTTACACAAAAGTTACAGCACCATATGTTTCCTGGTTTACGCTAAGAAAACTCTGCATTATGGTTTAGTAAGGAGGTTAGCGCCCGCCAACGTAAGAGAAAGAAGAATGTAGGGTTCATTTACGTCACGGGGTATTGATGAGACAATTTTTCATTATCGAGATGCTTGAAACATTCGTGCCTTAATCCTCCTCGAGTCTAGAAAACCGTATAGAACGACTTGTTAAGGGGTCTTCATTATATTTAAAACACACACTAGTACATAAGCCGAAGAACTAAGATAGTCGGAATCTCAGAGTTATAGGGAGATAGTAGTAGATCATTCGTGGAAGATGATTATAATAAATCACAGGTACTCTTCAACTACCTCAGCAATATTTATGCCGTAGAGATGTGCACCTCCGGTTCATACAAACACCTTCATACACACTGTGGACACAGTGGCCACTGGAGAAACCGGTGTATTTGATCAGTTAAATAGCTTTATATAGGTTAATTCGCGGTGTCCAGCAACAAATCTTATCTCAAATCCATTGTGGATATGTTTAGCTTATCTTTAACCCAACTTAGATTACCAAAAGACTGAGAGGACACCATTGTAGGACGTGCTTTCAAAAAAGTACGAGATACAGCGCTTAGAATTATCGACTAGTTAGTCTACCTCGCGTGCTTGTTAAAATTTTGAAAAAGATTATTCTGAATGGGTTGTTCAAGTATCTGAACTAAAACCGGATCCTTTCTAAAAAGTAGCACGGCTGTAGAGTAGAATATCCATATCTCACAAACTTGTTGGTATCTCGTGAATGTTGATGTGCCCTTAAAGATAATAAGTTACCCACGGATGTACTCTTCAACTATCTCATTAAGGCTTTTAACATTGTCTCCAAAAACCGGGTTTTATCTATGCTAACTAACATCGGGATTGCAGGTAACTTATTTGTGCAAATAAAGGCCTTCCTAGTTGGGCATCAACGGATAGTACGGGTGACCTGCAAGTTGTCAATCTGGGAAACTTTGTATAGTGAAGTGACCCAGAGTGTAGTTTTGGGACCAATGTTGTTCCTCCTGTACGGAAATAATCTCCTTAATCTCTTATGAGCATCAGTTTTCTTATATACTGACAGTGTCAAGATATGGAGAACGACGAACAGTAAAAGTGATAGTTTAGAGTTTCTAAATGACCTGGGTCAATTGTTTGGATGGTCTAGAATTCGGCATTCGGCGATAAATGTTTCCAAGAGCATTGTGATGCATGTTGGTCACCAAGGTACAGGGGGATACACAGTGAATGACAGTGAGCTACCTCATGTCCGGACATATGGTGACTTAGAAGCCATCTTTAACCAGGAGTTGAAAACTGAAAATTTTCTTGTGACAGCCGCCAAAAGTAATTGAACCCTATTGTCAATGTTTTATTATTATTATTATTAGCTTTATTCAATATTATAATTTTGGTACAATATAGAATTCTCAGCGCAAAGTATTTCAACAAGTTTCCGTTTCTTTCTTCTTGGTCGGTCCTGGCGATAAATATTGAGGAATCGCCAGTTAGATGTTAGCACTTCAGTGAATGAACAACTGAATAATGTACATTCTTTTCGTTGTACATTGCCAGCAACCATATTGTCTCTTATTGAGTTTTCTGTAACTTTGACAACGAAAGGTTGTACACTTTTCAGAAACGCAGCAGAATAGGTTATGCGATTAATAAACATAATGATATATTAAAACAAACAACAATAGATAACTTGTTGAAATATCTAGATGGCAGGAACAGGTAGCCCAGATGCTCAAGCAGGCCGCCCTTGGGAGTCTTTGACTATGTCGATGCGTTTTTAGCCTTGAAACAGAGTTCGTTCGTTCCGAAATTGGGCGTTCATACAAATATGAGTAAAAGATATAAGGTAACATTCATCAGAGACCACTCCCGCAAGGCCGAGCCATGCCAACCGACAAACTCGAATTAACTCCATTCATTGTTCCCGCCTTCTCCATCGTTGGGTTTTTCTCCGCGTTAAATGTTGAATATCTATTCACCCAATTGTCTCGTGTTCGGCTTTGATGACTGTGTGATTGGGGCTCAGTGTTATTACACTACTCTCCCACCATAATCAACGTGACGTTGGTCCGATACCAAGTTCAGTGAGATTGTCGCACCCCGGAGGTTCCCAAAACTAATAAGAATCCCCAGGGTTTTGATAAGCTGAAAGATAAACCAAAAAGAAGGCGGCAGCAACTGATCGGGAAGTACATATAATAACTTCAAAATATCTGTTCTAATGCTTAACACGTTTGAAATGAAAACCCACATGGACATTATTTATACGTCAAGCATGACTGGATTAGCACAATGAAGAACGATTTAGTGTAGATACATATTAACAAGTAACATTAAATTGCATAGTATTAACATTTGGTTAATGGCTCAAGTTGTAGGCCGTATAAGTAATTTTGAAATGCTTCGTTTTATCCTTAACACGCCGAAAAAGTAAAAGTCTATGTGAAGATTGTGTAGGAGTTGAACAAAATGTAACCATAAAAATTAAGGATGATTCGGTGTATAGATATTTCCATAAATCGCCATAAGATGCGTTGTGATAGCCGTAGGTTAACAGCATTTCGTGTTTAAAAATATTAAAAACAATCAACATCATATAAATGTTAAT